GATTTTTTTTCTTCATTTAACAAAATTTTTATAATATAGTTAATTATCATATATTATAGTAAACCCTATAATAATTCTATAATAAACACATAACCTACAGATTTTTTTTTTAATCTAAGAAAACGGAATGACGAAAACATTCAAAATGTTGCACTTGTTTTCTTTGCGTTACAGGTGTTAAAAAATCATTAAAGATAGTTTTACAATTAATTATTGCTGAAATTATATCCGAGGCATCAAGACTATTGTTCGTTATGAATTAGTTGATTAAATAATGGTATCATAAGAGGCAGGGGTTAAATTTTAAAAATGAACGATGAAATTAGTATTATATAATAATCCTGAAATGCTCTAAGTTAAATACTTGTTATAAAAGTAAAAACTAATTGACACAAAAGCATACGTATTTATATATTATATAAATATGTATGTTATTTTAATTTAATATGGTCAGGTGAGAATTTGKCAAAAATTAAAAATGAATGTAAATAAATGTATAAAATAAAAATGTATACAAAATAAGAATACTACTGTACACTTTGATTCCATTTTTCTTTGTACAATTTTCATATATATTATATGTAAATTTTTATTATTTGTTTTTCTAATCTTAATTTGTTACCATTGAAAATTTAAGTGCAACAATAACCAAAAAGTAATAAAATATAGTAATTGGTCTTGCTAGGTTTTGTATCGACTACTAATATTAAAATAACTAAATGTTATAAACGAAGTAACAAAATACACCGGTTTAATTACAGGAACTGGCTTTGGCGGTGACACACCCAATGTGCATATTAATTCTGAATTYTAAATAAGATTTTTGAGAGATGGATTTGTATAAATATATATTCTTTAGTATAAAATAGAAAGAAAATGTAACTCTCTTTAGTAATCAACACAAATAATTGAGGTAAACTACAATTTGCTTAATCGTTTTTTTCTTTCTAGAAAAAAAAAAACAAAATAATAATTAAAAAATAATAAAAAGCCTTATAATTTAAATACAAAAATAAAACTTTTAACACATAATACTGAACAGAAAGACATAAAATTTGTTTTTTATTGAATTATTAATTTTTGGGAATTGTATAAGACTAAACCAAATTTGCTGTCGCATGATCCCCTGCCAATGAGATAAAAGTAAAATCAAAGTGTACGAAAAAAAAATTTGACAGTCTTGGAGTGAGTCGTTTTACTTTACTTTTAGGGCTGTAACTATTGAATGCATATTTTTTATGTTTTCATATTTGATATTATTTGTACACAGACACTGTTTTTTTCGATGACAATTATAGTTATTTTATTATAGAGCAGTCACAGAAGGCATTTATGAGACATCTTGATCTTCAACATCTTGAAGCTGCTCTTTAGGTTCAGCTTCTGTACCTGAGAAAAATAATTAATTTTAATTTGATTTGATTTGATTTATGTATTTAGTATTCGTTCATACCATCTCCTTGCATATCTGAAGTCCACAGAGTTAGGTTGTCCCTTAACAACTGCATTATAAGTGTGGAATCTTTATAGCTCTCTTCCGATAATGTGTCCAATTCAGCAATTGCTTCATCAAAAGCTTTTTTAGCTAAATGACAAGCTCTATCAGGGGTGTTGAGAATCTCATAGTAGAATACGGAAAAATTCAATGCCAAACCCAACCTGTCGGGAAGAATATTTTATTATGAAATTAATTTACAGATTATCTATACCATTATATAAAATTGTAAGGATTTTTCTACAACCGCGCTAACCGAGAAAACTAATTAACCGATTTGGCTGAAATTTTTTAATGTTATACCCGACACTCTGTTGAAGGTTTTAGTACCACTTTTGTCAATAAAAAAAAAGTACAAGGTTCATAAATTAAAAACAATTGTACCTATATGGCTATATTATCTATATATATAAATATAAATGAAGACAAAAATGTATAACAATTCATCAATTGAGAACGACTGGTCCGATTTGGCTCATTCTTTTTTTGTTGGCTTAGGAATTGTTAGGAGATGGTTCTTATAGATGAAAAATTTGAGAAAGTTACCGTGGCGGTGATGAAATAGCTATGTAGATAGATAGCTATATACAGGGTGATTTTTTTATCGAAGAAGACTCATACTCATACACTCATACTACACTCATACTTTTTTAAATAATGAGTGTTCTTCGATTAAAAAATCACCCTGTATATATATATCTGTTTGTCCTATATACATTCTTAAACAGCTGGACCGATTGCGACAGAATTTTATTAGACATATGGGCAGAAGATATGCTAAATTAGAAAGTGTTATGCCTAAATATCATTGAATTGAATATTTAAATTGTCAAAATTATATTGAAAAAATGAAGAAAACTACATAATGTTATACGAAATTGAATATCGCTGTAAGATTATAATATATTTTAACCGCTATTTATCATTATGTATAAAAATATACTGCTAGCATCATCACATGAAATGAATTTAACACACAATATGAATTATGAACCATATAAGAGGTATATAACGGGATACAAAGTGCATGGGTTCAGCTAGTACTATATAATTTTTAATATTATAAGTATTAACATTATATATRATTATACCTTATTGGGTGAGTAGGAGGTAAGTCTTGATTAGCGATATCGCTAGCTGCTTTATAAGCAACCAGAGAATGTTCAGCGGCTTCTTTTCTGTCATCTCCAGTAGCAAATTCGGCCAGGTATCTGTGATAGTCGCCTTTCCTGTGAAATAATTTACAAAATATTAATAAATTTACCAGGATAGTGTATGCCTTATAAATTTTAGTTACAATTTCTACATAAATCAATTAAAAAACTTACATTTTATAATAGAATACTTTAGATTCACCAGAAGCAGCACATGCTATTAAATGTTTATCAAGTACATTTAAAATGTCAGAACAAATATCCCGCAATTCTTTTTCAACCTGTTAATCAATTAAAATAATTTATTAGATATATTATAATTTATAATTAGTTTATATGTATTTTATATAATAATAATAATAATAATAATAATGTTTATTGCAACAGTGAAAATTGTATATATTTTATAAATACTTATGTTTATATACATTGTGCTTCCCCCCATAAGCCTAGCTTGTGCTGGGGGAGCGGTCTTTATCTTAATTCTTAATAATAAAAGATTAGATTTAAAATATTACATTAGGTAAAATTGCTTATAAAATAAACTGTAACTAAATATAATTATAATAAAATAAAAATATAAGACAATGATAATTATTATGTTTACAAGACGGTTAAATTCAGATGTAAAACAYGCCATTTGAATGACCTCAAACTAGAAAAATCGTTTACATTAATATTTAATTTTTGACATAGTTTTAGACTCTTATACAAAACACTTTTTTGACCAAATACTTTGTTATAAATGGGTATCTTATATTAATATATGAATATATATTTATATTTGTAGATTGTTTGAGTAATACATACCTGCGATCTATATTGACGTATCATTTCTAGCTTTTCTTCAGCACCTTTGTTCTCTTCTTTCTGTTCAATACTTGAAATTATGCGCCAACTTGCACGTCGAGCTCCAATCACATTTTTATATGCTACAGATAACAGATTTCGCTCTTCTACAGATAATTCAACATCTAACGATGCTACTTTTTTCATGGATTCCACCATTTCTATAAATTAAAAATAATATTTGATTAGTAACAATATTAACACTATGATAGTGTTTAACCATAGACTCAATTAGTATAATATTTTAAATTACTGGGACTCAATTAGTATTTAGTTTATAACTACCCAGAGTTTAATTATAATGTAGCTTATAACCCTGGACTTAATTCATTCTAAAAAGGTTTAATTGGGACTTAGTTTGTATGCARCCATTTATTAAAGAGGACTTGWGCCCATCAAATTTAATGTTAAGGATATATTATTATCCCAGAACCTAAGGTAATGTTTTAAATATTTTAATTTAGAAGCCATTTATTAGAAATTAAAAACCATATTTTTTTTTGTAAAATTTCAAAAAAAAAACTCATTGAATAATTCTTATCTTTTAAAATTATACAATAGGTCAATTAACTTCAACATTATTTGTATCATTAAAAAAAAAAGTCAAATAGGTTCATCCAGAGTTTTGTTAATTATGTAATACGTTAGTAAAATGGAGAATACTATTCTCTTAAAGGAAGATATAAATGTTGTTAATATAATACCTACAAATAATGCAAGGGTATATATCGTCGGCTTCTTGCCAAAACTCGTTWAAGGCAAAATAGTGGTTGTTCAGAAAACGACTTTATAGTTTTTAAAAAAGTAAATTTTTGGTCTCAACCCTACAAAATCTTTGATTTTTAAGATATTGACATAGTTTTTTTTTTAAATGTAATCTGCTTATATTACTGCAATAAGACATATTGGATTTCTTCAAAATGTTTAATGTAACACTGTTTTTTTTATTAGTTAAGTATTGTATGCAAATATTTTAACCGTTAATGAATTTTACTGAATAGAAAAATGATTATTAATATTTGTTTAGACTGAAATCTATATCGATTTAATATTAATTATTTTTCTTATTGGACTTGGTCATATGATCATCATTATAGATTGTATTTAGGTATGTCAATTATCAATGTATTTGCTTAATTGTGAATTTTTGTTATTATTAACATTCATTATTATTGTAAATTATTAATAGGTATTTTTATATTAAAATAATTATTGCCATAACATAACTCATAAACTTTTTTTTTTTAAATAACCAATATCGAGTGATATAAATATTACAACAAGAAAATACAAATATAATGTAACTTAAAACTTATAACATAATAATTATTACTAAAATTACTAAAAAAATTGTGACTATGTATTTCTTTTATTTTTCAACTGCTATTGTAAAAATATCAGTGGCGGGTCGTGTGCTCTGAAAGTGGAAGGGCGATATAAAATTTCTTATTTATGGAAAGTATCGAACACAAATTATATTAATAATAATAATTTATTTTAATCTGTTTAATAGTTTAATATATATAAATTATAAATTATTATATATATTTTCAATTGTCACCGCTTTTTTATAGATAGAATTGATTAGAGTTACGACCGCACAAAGTAAATAATAAATACGCAAGTTTGGAATCCGTGTATAACGGCCAACGGGCGATTAAAATATTTAAAATTTAAAATCATCGCCACGGCGGCAGTATTATTATTGTGTTCCACCTTCTTAGTTTTTGTATTCCAACCATAGTAATGACGAGCGACTTTTAACATCGCCCAAGCATCGCTATGTACTGCTCGTAAATTGTTATTGGTTATCGATTCTCAGAAGCTACAGCGTCGAATGATTTATTTTTAAACTCCCATTATCTGATAATGTTTTCATAATATGTATTAGTGGAAATGAAGGAAACACAATTTTTATTTTTGACAATATTATACTAAAATATAAATGAGAAATTTAATATTTAACATGTAAATTGGTAATAAATGATAATTCTAGAAGTGGGGCGATCGCCCCATCGCCCCTATCTACGAGCCGCCACTGAAAAATATGTTAGGAGCCTTGTGTTAAATTTTCAAATCTTAGATTTAAAAGAAAAACTTTTATGAATTTCTATCTAAGATAATTTAAACATTGCAGTAATTTTTATGTATTTAGTCAAAATTTGAACTTTAAATGCTAAATTTTTAATTTTTTTTTAATTTTTAATTTTTAAGTGATATTGAAACAATATGTTGAAAGCCTTATATTAAATTTTGAAGCTTTTTGATACAACCAATAAAATTTTATTGACATTAATAGAAAAAAAACTAAAAAATTTGAAAAATTAAAATGTCAGTAACAGCTCAAAACTAAAATATTTTGAAAATTTTATCAAATAAATATAATGCCTATATAAACATTCAGTGAAAATTTCAAGTATCTGCGGTCATTTGTTTTAGAGTTAGGTACACCAAAATAAGAAAATCATTGAATGAGAAATCTAGTGAAAATCCAATGTTGCAAAAATTTCAATTTCAAA